TTGTCGATTGCCTCAAGCGAAACTTCATTCTAATTCTAGCCGTGCCACGAGAGGAATGGCTGCACAAGCTGATCTAGAGAAATGAAATATGCACCCAGTTGCCTGGAGTTTGGCAATGTCCGACTCCACCAAACGCCGATTGATCTTCGAAGGCGAAGACGAAGACGCATTCGAAGGCGAAGATGAAGACGCATTCGAAGGCGAAGACGAGCACGCAGTCGAAGGCGAAGACGACAAAGGCGACGGCGACCAGGGCTCCTTCTTGACCTTAGTTGCACTTCTCATCGGAACTTACTCAGTATGTGTTCTTCATTCGGTCGGCGTGGATTCGAATGCAACTTCGGCACTTTCCGCATCGGTGTCTTCTCCATGACATCCTGTTTGCAGCACTTCTCAGGACTGTGTGGAAGGAACTGCTTGGATGCCTTGCTTGCGACCAGGGCACTGGCTCCATCTTGACAGTTTGCTTGCCAGTCTTACGTGTTGGTGTGGCCTTCACGCAATGACAGTCACAATCAGAATCAAGCACTGTGATGACGTGATTGTTTCCACCAGGGCACTCGGACCATCTCGACGAAAGCAGCTGGATTCTACCCCTTTGGACACTGAGGACACACAGGGTCCTTCACTCGATCCAGAAAAAAAGCTGCGACAGGCAATACGTTGTAATTCGTGTCATGATGCCTCCGAGTTGGGTTCACTGAATCATTGAAGGTCCCATGAGGCTCTGGCCACCGGTAGTACACGGAAGAGCCCATCAGCTCTGGATCACTCCCGCCTGCAAGGACGTCGCATGCAGTAGCATCAGCAGAAGAATGTGTTTTTCAATTCAAGTCTGAAACTGGCATGATTCAACGACGCAACCTTCAATGTTGATTGGAACCTTAAAGTAGCCCGCATGCATGAATGAACCCCATCACAGCAAGCTCTTCGAAGAAGTTCCAGCTGAGACTGCCAATTAAGTCTTGTTATGCAGGAATCCGTGGATACTCAAGCTTTTCAGGCCTCAAAAACGGTTTTGGGGAATCCGGTTGCATGTTCTCGGATGTGATTCTAGAACCTCTGCCTCGGACCTGTTTCGTCACAGTAACCAAGCTTCGAGGGAGCATAAACTGCTGTGCCTGTGTCGGTAATAAAGCCTTGCAGGCCGGGGCACGCCGATTCAATCTTCTGCAAATTCGTTTCGAACTTAAGCTGGACAATGCCACTTTGCGGTTTTAAAGCCTGAATACCTGTTTCCGGCATCGTGGAGCACGGTTGAATTTCAAGTGTGGGCTGAAGGCAGAAACCTACCACGGGCGCCGGAGTCTCTGAAGAATCGAGATTATGAGGCTAGAGCCTGTCAATCGCACCACTGAAGCACCACATGTGAGTTATCAAGCAATCCGACTCAGGAATTCCAGGTGGCCTTCCCCGTGGTCTTTGCAAACACCAGTGTAAAACTCTCACCTCCACTCGGCCAGGGTGGAACCACCATGCCTGGAGGGTGTGCACTTGCCGGCTGCAGGGCTGTCCCACGTGTGCCTCCCAAAGGCCCCCGGGCAGCTCACCTGTAACAGCCCCAACGACACCGGCCAAAGCAACGTCCCTGTTGCCTTGGACCCTGTCGTCGCAGTACCGCTTTGGACCCCAGCGGTCTGCTTGGCGTGTGCAGTGACTCCCCAAGCCGCAGGCCAGTGGCACTGCAGTGATGAATGGTGGGGGGTGGGTGAGAAAGCATCACAAGCTGCTGTTTTCGGCATCCAGAAGCATCTCGGGTTTGATCCTGGAAAATGCGGGAACCGACTGAGGCATTTTTTGACACCTCTGTGGGCGATTCAATAGCTGTGTCTGTTTCCAACAAGAAGCCAACTTTGAAGCTAGAGGATGCCAATTCAAGCTTTTTAAGGCCCGAAAAGCTGTTTTCGGCTTGCGGCAGCACGTTTTCCCTTTGATTCGGCAAATGCAGCCTAGAACCCATGACCCATGTAGCCCAAATAGTGCGGTACCCATGTTTCGGGTTTGATTCTTGCAAATGCAGTCGCAGCCTTAGAACCACGTAGCCATGTCCAGACAAGTCAATAGCTGTGTCTGTTAAAACAATGAACCTGAAGCCAGAGAACGCCAATTCAAGCTTTTCAAGGCCTGAAAAGCTGTTTTCGGCTTCCGGCGGCACGTTTTCCTTTTGATTCGGCAAATGCAGCCTAGAAACTATGTAGCCTTTTCGAGGCAACGGAGGCCAGGTCGGAAGCTCTGTGTGTTTCCAAGAAGAATCCAGCTTCTTGAAGCTGGAGAACGCCAATTCAAGCTTTTCAAGGCCTGAAAAGCTGTTTTCGGCTTGCGGCAGCACGTTTTCCCTTTGATTCGGCAAATGCAGCCTAGAACCCATGACCCATGTAGCCCAAATAGTGCGGTACCCATGTTTCGGGTTTGATTCTTGCAAATGCAGTCGCAGCCTTAGAACCACGTAGCCATGTCCAGACAAGTCAATAGCTGTGTCTGTTAAAACAATGAACCTGAAGCCAGAGAATGCCGATTCAAGCTTTTCAAGGCCTGAAAAGCTGTTTTCGGAAACCTGTGGCAAGTTTTCGGTTTGATTCGGCAAATCCAGCCTAGAACCCATGTAGCCTCTTCCAGACAGTTCTGCGGGCAAGTCAATAGCTGTGTCTGTTTCCAAAAGCAATCAAGCTAAAGCTAGAGAATACCGATTCAAGCTTTTGAAGGCCTGAAAAGCTGTTTTCGGCATTCCAGCAGCATGTTTTCGATTAGATTCGGCAAATGCAACCTAGAACCCATGTAGCCTTTTCAAGACAACTGCGGCCAGGTGGAAAGCTGTGTGTATTTGTGTGTTTCCAAGAAGAATCCAGCTTCTTGAAGCTGGAGAACGCCAATTCAAGCTTTTCACGGCCTGAAAAGCTGTTTTCGGCTTCCAAAAGCATGTTTCCGGGGGTGATTCGGCGACTGCAGCCTGGAATCCGTCATTTCCAGAAACCTCTGTGGACAGGTCGAAAGCTGTCTGTGTTTCCAACCTGAAGGAAACTATTTTGGAAGCTGGAGACTGCTGATTCGAGGTTTTCAAGGCCGGAAAAGCTGTTTTCGGCATTTGGGGGTTCCGAGAAAAGAAAACACAGCCTGTAAGCCATATCCAATAACTTATCGGGGAAATCAAAGGCTTTGTCGAAGACCAAGGCGAAAAAAATTTCAGGCTGGAGAATGCCGACGCAAGCTTTGGAACGACCTGCACAAAAATCGCCAATGTTTCGGCTTGGATTCTAGCACTTACAGCCTGCACGCCATGTCCTTAATCGAACAATCACAGTCACAAGACAAAGGGACAACGGGCCTCCCCATCGCCAGCCAACTCATCCCGGACATTTTGCCAAGACCACACCCGACAAGTCGAGGATTTTGCAGGGGGGGCTCCTTTCCACTGGGTAAGCATAGTTCCGCTGGCTCGCATTCATGTGGCAATCAGCAAGTCATGCCAAGCAAGTCATGCCACAACACAAGACAAGCGGCAAAGGGAACACAACGCAATCTCAAGCGAGTCAATCGATCACAAGAGGCCTCCCATGTAATATGGACAGATGCGGGTCTCGCCCCACCGCCACATCCACTCCCTGTACTCCATGGTGTCCTTCCCAGAGCCCAGCAGGCACATTGGCACATTGCCCTGCTGTCGTCTGCTTCCCAAGGCTGGAGCATGTTGGCCAAAAGCTCTGTCAGACACAACATGGTTCCAAGAGTGTGAGCTCCAAACCCGGCCAACGGTTTGAAGGCAAGCCCGATGTTTTTTTGGGTTGCCTTGCAGGCTTGCCTCTTGGTAGAGCCAAAACTGAAACGAAGAACAAGCCAAAAACGACCGCACAAGACGCCATGCTGTGTCGAAACGAAGGTTACCCGGTTACCCATGACTGAAGCGAGCGAAAAGACGACGGACCCAAACGGCAGGCCCAAGGCGAAGATATGAAGAGTGCTCCAAGGACGACAACCCCCTGCACCGACCGAGATGCCGAGACTGTAGTACAAAGCATGAAAATCAAAGGTTTCGTGGCATACTACAAGGATTATCCTCTGCACTGCATGTCTGCTGGAGAGGAAGGCAAAACAAGCGCCTCGTCTGTCCAGCCAACTTCGAAGACGAAGGTGAGAGGGGCGACCTGTCCCATCAGACCCAGAGGGACGGACGTGCACCGAACTGCATGCTCAGTGAGGAACCGGCCGCTGCTTGTAGTAACAGACCTGGCAGTCAGGAGATTCAGAAGATAAGCTTACGTGTGCAGCGGCAGGAATCCAGGAATGGCATGCTGAGTCACGAACCATCTTCTGACCCCATGGGTCTGATGAAGCCTGGCGCAAACAGAAGATAATCACTGGACACCGATCAACTCTTCAAGAGCACTGTTAACATGTCTCGGCACGAGCACTCCTTTTTGAATTGCATGGTGCTGAGCTGGTCACGTCGGGTGAAGAAAAATGCCAGCCAGCACGGGGCACTGGGCACCGAAGACGAAGAAGAAGGCAGCCAACACGGGGCAGTGGACACCGAAGACGAAGAAGAAAGAAGCGAAGACGAAGAAGAAGGCGGCCAACTAGTCCTTGCCCTTCTCTTTGCCCTTCGTGCCCTTCTCGTCTTTGCCCTTCGTGCCCTTCTCGTCTTTGCCCTTCGTGCCCCCTTTCTCGCCTTTGCCCTTTGATGCGCCCTTCTCGTCTTTGCCCTTCGTGCCCCCTTTCTCGTCTTTGCCCTTGCCGTCTTTGCCCTTCCCTTTATCGTCTTTGCCCTTGCCCTTATCGTCTTTGCCCTTGCCCATATCATCTTTGCCCTTGCCCTTCTGGTCGCCCTTGCCCTGGTCCACGCCCTGGCCGCCCACAAACTTTGGCAATGGGCGATACGAAGTCGGCGGCCCCCGAAGGCCAGAAAGCGCAGATGCTTGACCAGTCTCAGTTGAGACAGACAAGAAGCGGTTACAAGGGCAAGTACTAACTGAAGCAACTCGAAAATTTTGGACGGGTGACAAAACTTACGAACGAAACCAAGCAACCGAAGTGTTGTGCTGGACATACTGGGCGTACATGGCAAGCTCGGGGTTGTGCAGGCTGTAGAGCGTTTCCCACTGTCGCAGCTGGGTGATTCTGTAGTCCAGCACCTGGAGTTGCGGTTCAAGTTCAATGTTGAAAAATTAAGTAAGGTGGTTCAGTAAGTTTTTTTTAAATAAACAAAGAGACTAATCTTTACCCCGCCCCGCCTGGATGGCGTCCCGCGCCTCGCCAGGCGTCTTGGGCCGGACAGGGTCCCCCACGCACTGCTGGATGGAGTGTGGGTCGCCTCCGTGCCTTCTCGCAGTGGCGTAGCCGTCGGAGTCGAGCATCCAGCAAACCCGAGTCTTCAAGGACAAAAGCGCCTGGAAGCGACTTGTCCTTGTCTGACTTCTGAACCCCTCCAAAAAGTTAAACTTTTAGCCCCCTTATTATGGTTCATATAGAAACCCAAAAAGTTAAAGTCCTAAGAGCCAACCAGAAGTACGCCAAGTGTCCACTCGGCGAAGACGTCTCCCGAAGACGAAGACGAAGGCACAGGCGCAGGTGGCGGAGGCTTGAAGGTCAAGTGCTGGATGCCTGAACAGAATTAAACTCTGGACCATTTGATCCTTTATTCTTGGTATAACTGCAATTTTATATTCATTCGTTATACTAAGTATCATTGACATGTTTGTATTTGACTTTGTTGGAGTTGAATCTTTGAAGCCGAATCTGATGTCGCTCCTGCAAGCGGATCCGGCGAAGGCGAAGGCGGTGGCGAAGCCGCAGGCATCTTGGGCACAGGCTCCTCTGGGAAAGCAGCTGCCGGCTTCGGAGGAGGTGCAGCTGCCGGCTTGGGAGGAGGAGCTGCCCCAACTGGTGGCTGGCCTCGGATGTGCAGCAAAAATAGTTTGCTTTCATAATGACCTTGATTAATTATCGCATGATGTCATATTCTACTGTTCACACCGATCTGAATCTACTTAAGTGCCAAGGCTCTCTTAGTCTTTGCAGCATTCTGCGCCGCCCACCTGTCTCTCTTCCGGCTGGTGTTGGAGAGCGGATCTCTTGCAGTCCCCCCACCCGTCTTCGGCGAGGGCTTGGCCGCAGCAGCAGCCTTTGGCTCCGAAGGCGAAGACGAAGACGAGGGATTGGCCGCAGCAGCAGCCTTTGGCTCCGAAGGCGAAGACGAAGACGAGGGATTGGCCGCAGCAGCAGCCTTTGGCTCCGAAGCCGACGACGGCGAAGCCGTGGGAATGGCCGCAGCGGCCTTTGGCTCCTCAGGCGAAGGAGAAGCCGTGGGACTGGCCTTTGCAGCAGTCTCTGGCCCACGCAGGCGCTTTCGAGGCATGGCGGCAAAGCTAACAATCCACCCTCTCAAGATCTGTCTAAGACCATCCTGAAATTCAGATTGTCATTGAAGCTCCAATATCCTTGAACAAAGCTCTTTATTAGTGAAGTTCTCAAGTGACAGGGTGTCCAAGGGAGTCCAAGCTAAGGGATGGGACAGCCCGAAGTGAAGAAGAGCAGAAGAGCTGTGATTCGTTGATGGTTAGGTTTGGGACTTAGGCTTTGGGGTGGTCTCTACTCACTGTGCCTAGATTAGTAAATTCTGATTGGCAGGCCTTCAATTCAGTCACTGGCAAGTGAGCTAGGACTAGAGTCTTGCATGTCCCCCAGGCCCCGTGCATCTCATGTTCTGCTCTTGATCCCGAGCAGCTGTGTCATGAAGGCACGCAAATCTTCAAACACTGAAACCATTGAATGCCTCTTTGGGGCTCTCTTAAAGCCATCCTATCAATGACTCAAGTGGTTCCATTCCAAAATTCCCGTATACTATAGCAATAATGTTAGATGGTATGTTATGGGTTGCAGTGCTGGTACCTCCAAAATTAAGATGTGCTCAAGTGTGGAAACGGACCAATGACGTGGGTAAAGAATGCGACTTAGCACTATTCTCTGCCCAATGGAGCTTGCCGGGCCTTGTCGAAAACCAAGTCGAAGCCCAAGTCATCATGATGGCAGGACCTGGCAGGAAGTTCAGATGATAAAGCTTACATCTGTACATGGCCTGGACGGACTTGTGAACGGCAAGCTGAGTTGCGAGCCATTTGGTCGACAAGGTCTGGTCAAACCTGGCACGAGAGACAGTGGTAAATGAAGCGGTAATGCAGAACTCAATATCATGCTTTGCATGCATTGGCACACGCACTTTTTTGAATGGCAGCTGCCGCTGGTCGCGTCCCTCGCCGGGAAGAATGCCAGCTCAGCAAAGTGCTGTGGTCGTGACGTGAATCACACAGCACTTGGTTCCATGACGGGCTGAATGATGCCATGTCGAATGGAATGGTTTAGGTACGGCCCCCTTACAGTAAAAGCCTATATTTATAATAGAGACACCAGTCTACAATAGGGCTACGATTACGGTCGTATTATATCTATATTACGAGTACTATTCATTATTACTGACAGTGGGAGCTGTACCCAACGAATGGTCTAGTTATCGCTAGTGTCTTGATCAATATCAAAGCCTTTGTCAATACATATAACAGTTAGATTCCGAAGACGAAGGCGAACGTTCGACAGGGTCTCATCAGATGTGCCCAGTCATGGAACCGCATGCCATCCAAAATGCTCGATGGAAGACTGTATATTAAGTCGGAAGACTTAATATTGCCCGAAGACCAATGGTAAACGAGCATTCAGAACGGCAGCATCTTAGGACTTAATGCGCTTTTTTCGCCTTGGACTTCAAGTGGGCGAGCTTTCAAGCTTACAATCTGCTACGAAGTGCTGCTTGCGAAGGCGAAGTACTATGTTTCATGTTCAACTATTCTAAGCCGAAGTCGAAGGCGAAAAAGCGCATGCCAGCCCTCAGCCGCGGCGAGGAGTCCTGGCCCGGCTGCCCCAGCCAGCGCTGCCGCGGGAATCCGAAGGCGAAGACCAAGTCGGCCTCCCGGAGCCTTTGACATGACCTTGGAGTGCGGGGACTAAGGACAAACAAACATGTCTGCAGTGCACAGACAAATCAACTGCAACCAAGTGGCCGGATATGCGGTTGAAGCGAGATTTGCAATGCCACATAACGGCAGCCGACGGGTTGTCAAATGCGCCTTCGATGTAGCCCCCGTTGGCTTCCCGCTGCGACTCCGCATGCATGACGAACTCGCGGGCCATGTCGCTTCGTTCGGCTGCAAGCGACGCCATCATCTTAGTTGAAGAAAGAAGCGAGGACCAACAAGCAATGATCGTAAGCACGCAAAAAAAACAGTTTAAAAGCCGAGCCACCGTCCACGCAGAGGGGTCTACCTTCATCTCCGTCAGGAGGCCGTGCAGCTCGTACATGTTCTCGGCGAGAAAGCGCTTGGCACCCTCGCAGCCAGAATTTAACGGACTACCATGTGTGTCTGTACTAGCTTGCAGGTCATTGCAGGTGAATTATGTTCATAAGCAGGGCCTGCACGGCCGACGAAGCCGAAGACGAAGACGAAGCCGGCGGTGGACCATCAGGCGAAGCCGGCGGTGGACCACCAGGTGGTGGACCCGGAGGATCCCGCGGCAACCACTGCTGCGAAGGCGAAGCACCCGAGGGCGGAGCCGACGGAATCTGCAAGCCCATGTAGCGGCACTGCTCGGAGATCCTTTCCCGAGGCACGCAAACAGTCAAGAAGCAAACAAAGTACACAGTATATATATACAGTATATAAGTAAGCCCAAATTCCCTTTAAACTAACTTCTGACAAATGGCTTGATCTCGGCGATCTTGGTCAGTTCCTTGATCACCTCGACGACCTCCTGGAGAGCTGGGTTCCTGTTCGAGAAAATAGGAATCTTCTCAGGATCATCATACTCTTTCTGCATCGAAGGCGACCAAAGCCCCATATTGAAGACGAAGGCGATGACCATGGCTGCCGAAAGGGAGCGATGGCAGCCCGCCGAGCCTGAGTCTGCTGGGTCGTCTGTCTAATACAGTCACTAGTTCCAGAAAACATAAATTGCAGCTAAGAAACAAGAGATCGCCACACAGTGGTAGACGTCGGGCCCATGTCCGGCAGCGAGTCCAAACACAAGCACCACGGCTGCTACTATCGCGTCCCATCCTTCTGTCACCATGCGACAAAAAAATTTGGGATTCGTCAAGGGGTTCGGCGGACCTTCTGGACCATAGTCGTTGTCCGCGGGGCCCTTTTTGTCGCCTCAGGATGCCATGAATGCTGCACCCAATAAGCAGGTGGCGCCGAATAAGTAATTACGCAGTACCAGTAAACAGAACTTATATCAAACGAGCCAAGTCACGTGCTGGGGACAACGATCTTCCACGGCCGTCCTTGATGTCCTTCGGCCACTTTCCCCGTATGTCCCACATTGTGTGGATGTAGCCCTTGTAGAACTCGTGGCAGTACCTTAGAAAGGTTTTAAATTCGCAAAACTCTTCTGTTGACTGTTATCGCTTGACAAAGCCAGGGCACCCAGCCATCACGTCGCGGCCTTTGCCTTCCCCTTGGCGCCGACCTGAGCTGACAGGGCGGTGACATGCATTGCAGTGGATCATGACCCTTGCAATGCAAACATTCCATCTGCTTCCCAAGCTGCTGAGACTCGGGTACTTCCACTCGGCGCCGAAGGGGACCACCACGCCCGCCATGTCCAACGTGGTGCAGGAGAACATGGCGAAGGCGAAGACGAAGGCCAGTGGCGAAGGCGAAGGACGATGGCGGGCGTGGAGAAGGCGAAGGCCAACCGCGAAGGCGAAGGACAATGGCCGACGTGGGGCTACAAAATTTAGGTTAGAAGCTGTGAAGGATGAGGTGAGAAGTATTACTGGATTAGCATAGCATTATTGACAAAGACTTCTAAAGCCCTGAATCACTGAACAAGAATTTAGGATGGGTGTCTGACATGACACTGCCAAGGATCTGACTGAATCAACGATTAGGAGTTTAAGATGGGTCTCTGACATGACTGCCAAGGATCTGACTGAATCACTGAATTTAAGTAGGGTGTCTGACATGACACTGCAAAGGATCTTCGGAACTTCATGTCACGACGTGTGCACTTGAGCCCGGTCACCACAATCAAAGCAAGTCAGCTGGTGCAATGGTGCAAGAATGTCATGCATGCACCCTCTCGGCAACGAGAAGAAGCTGAAGGGACCTCTTCCGGCAAGCACCGTGAACCAAAACAATGATGATGAGGAAGAAATGCGGGACCTGGCGTATGCACAACATGGCTCCACACCAAGTTTGAGCATGCTAAGCTAGGGCAGCTGCCTCGAAGCCCATCCGAGTGGTTCTGTTAGCCAGCCTGTCATGCATTTTTCACAGACTCATAATAAAAAGCTATGCTCGCGGCACCTCCGTCGAAAGCGCAGACGAAATCGAGATGTCCAACTTGTTGACCTGATGATCATCTAATCACTCTCAAGAATCTAAGAAACCAGAACGATAAGTTGCGGACCCAGCTGTGCACGGACTCCACCGAGATTGTGGACGGGATGATCACTTCATTCACTGCTAAACTGTTAAGCATCTGAGTCTGAGAAACCAGCCCGGCTGTGAACATAGCTGACATCGGCAATGAAATTCAGTCTGGGACCTTAATCACCAAGAGGAAAAATCATTGAACTGAAAGCGTGTAAGTCTCAGCTCCTGGCGCCAGCTTCAAAATAGAAGCCGAAGCATGCCACCTGGCCATGGAATGCTGCAAGGGAACCGATTTGGCGATGGCAGTCACCTGCCTCGAAGCCGAAATCGAAGACCTGCAACAAATTCTTGGGAAAGACATTCGAAATCAAGAGCAAGACTGCAACTGAACCGGCCTCCGAGACCATCCAGAGCAGAAATCGTCCACCACCATAGCCAACCTGGCAGGTTCAAGCACAATGGTGGATGTTAGCCAGGGCCCCTTGAGCACGCCTGGTTGCTGGGGCCCACAACGGAGCTCACCCAGCAGGGTAGGTACTGGGGCCCCGGAGTGGAGCTCACCCAGCAAGGTTCACCAGGGCCCGATTGAGCTCACCTGGAGTTGCTGGGGCCCCGAGTGGAGCTCACCCAGCAAGGTGGACCAGGGCCCGATTGAGCGCACCTGGTTGCTGGGGCCCACAACGGAGCTCGCCCAGCAGGGTACTGGGGCCCCGAGTGGAGCTCACCCAGCAAGGTGGACCAGGGCTCGAGAGCTCACCTGGTTGCTGGGGCCCGGTGAGGGAGCTCGCCCAGCAGGTTGACCAGGGCCCTTTTGAGCTCACCTGGTGTACTGGGGCCCGCAAGGGAGCTCACCCAGCAGTGGTTGACCAGGGCCCGATTGAGCTCACCTGGTTGCTGGGGCCCCGAATGGAGCTCACCCAGCAAATACCAGGGCCCGTTTGAGCTCACCTGGTTTACTGGGGCCCAAGTTGGGCACACCCAGTAGATTCTGGATTGGGGCCCCGAAGAGCTCGCCCAATCCCTTCACTGGGGCCTCTAAGCAGGCTCACCCAGTAAACCCAACCTAACCTAGAAAGAACCCACCCCCGGCCTCCAATCCAACCAGCGAAGAAGGCGAAGGCGACGCGAGACCTCGAGATTTATTTTAGGGGGGGGGGGGGGTTGGGGGTTAAGTAGGGTTTAAGGTTTATGTTTTTAGGGTTTGGGTTTAGGGTTCGTTTAGGGCATGGGTTTAGGGTTTAGATGTTTAGGGGTTTGTTTTGGGTTTTAGTTAGTATATATAGGTTTAACAGTCTAGGGGTTAAGACTGCAGGGTTTAGGGTCTTTAAGGCATTTGGTTTGGGCGTGGTTTGGGGAGCTTACTTAAGGGTCTTAAAATCACACCCCCCCCCTCAAAAACAAACACAAACCCGAAACACAGAACCCCTAAAAACCCCTACTAAAACAACACAAACCCTTAGACCCTGAATCCCCAAACCCTACACAAAATCACCGAATACCAAGGACCGTGACCCGCCCCTAGACCCCGAAATTCGTTGCCCTCCCTCTAAAACAAACACAAACCCGAAACACTGAACCCCTAAAAACCCTTACTAAAATAACACAAACCCTTAGACCCTGAATTCCCAAACCCTAATCTCCTAGATCAAAACCACCGAATACCAAAACCCCTGATCCCCTCTAAACCCCGAATTGAGACCCGGGCGGAATTGTAGATGTAGGCGATCGTCGCTAGGGCCGTTCAGCTGCGGGACTCTGAGCGCGGTTATTTATTAGAAGACCAAGACCAGGGTGGGAATACTAAGTTGTTACTAGTATACCAAGACGAAAGCGAAGACCAACCCTAGAACAATCTATAGCCCCAGCCCTCAGGTACGAGTCTTAAAATCATCCTTAAAACACAGCTCCCAAATTCCACTTCTATTCTTGGAGCCCCTGTATGATTTAAGGAACCCTGCTTCATGAAGAACTCACATCTTCTGTCAGTTTCCATATAGCGTGCGCTCTGCAAGATGAGCGTAGGTAGGATTTTTTGACATGAGTCTGTAGTCCTGTGGCACCAACTCAGTCGGAACTCATGCCCAGTTGCTGGAGGTAGGCCAGCAGGAAGGTGCACAAGGACAGCTTCACTTCCAGTATCCATCCAGGGTTTGCCCATCTGTCTGTGTGCCAGGTGCTTTGCTGTCATTCAGTTCCCCATAGGAATCAGCCAGAGCATCAATCCAGAGCTTCGGCAGTTGCTTCGTAACAGCGAGTTCAGTGGGATTGTACGGGTGCCATGGCATAGCTACGGGCACGAGCGAGGACAGAGGACAGACCCGACGGAGATGGGAGGACACTAGGACAAGAGGAGACAGCAGGAGACAGGAGGGTTGGAAGCAGGGAGAGGGAGAAAGAGTGGTTTTTTTTTTGGATCGAGGCCTACGACGACGTACACGCGCATATGTCGGTGTAGGTTGATGTGGTGGGTACACGACGACGCGAAGAGATGGAAGGAAACGGTTATTTTCGATGAATTAGATAGATGTTGTGAATTAGGTTTTTTTTTGTTTTGAATTGTGGGCTTGCAAGGGGTAAGGTGAATTTGGTTGCTTCGGGCGTGCTGCAGGCAAGGTGAATTCCGGGATTCGGGAAGTTTCGAGAATTAGGGGGCCAGTTGAATTCATATTTAGTATCTAATTCGGGTTTCCGAGCGCCAATGGTCCTGGGTGCTTGCTTGTTTTTTTTTTTTTGGGGGGGGGAGGGTGGTAACTCCGAAGACTTCACAGGAAAACGAGTAGGAGGCGGATATTGCACCCGCTCCTGGAACAAAAGGTTGGGGTGCAGTTTACTGGCTTGACTCCTCCGAGTCGTCCTCTGCATCTTCGTCGGAAACCTCCAGGGGCTCGGCGGCGCAGGTGTGAGGGCTCCTGGCTGAAGCTGCGGCAAAGGACCTGCGAAGAGCTTGTTGTCGGGAAATTTGGTGACCATAAAAAGTCGTAAGGCTGTATCCATCTAGCTGGGCCGTACTTCGTGGGGGCCTGAACCCAATCAAATGTAGTGTAGTATTGAAATAGACATGGTTGCTACAGGCCAGCTGCGGGCACCAGGCGGTTAACAGTTTTCTCTCTTCCCCTTCCCATTTTTCAGCCCCATGTAGGAGAACCCGCGACGAGAAGAGGAGTGGCGACCTTTCGATGTTATGAAAGTAGCCCCACCTGCGGTCAGTGGAACCAGTGAGCCAGCCTTGGACGTCACCAGCTGGATGTTCGACCCACAGTCGTCCTCCTGTGAACTCTGTTAGTCCTAAGATTAACGCCGGGGCAAAGGAGTTGCGTGAGTCGCGGTGGACTGGTTTTCCAGGACCTGTGCGGATGGAAAGGCAGGTAAAGGGTGTGGCTTCAGGATAACAGCTTCGGGCGAACTTGACCACTGCAGCAGCAAAAGCCGGTTGTTCCTCGGTGAGGCGGGTGAGGGTATTGGCTTGACGAGGGTGTTGTCCTAAGAGAAGAAACTTGTTTCGGCCCTCATCAATGTCCCAATATTTAGAGGGGACTTCTGCCGAAAGAGCTGCTATGGCTTGGCACTGTTCTTCGAACCCGAGCGAAAGGACATGTCTGAAGATTGTTTCCGATTGCTCGCTGAGGGACGGCGGGGCTTCACGTTCAGTACTTGTGCTGTTACACACAGGGTCCGTCAGTGAGTCGGACATGTTGTGTGCAATCTATAGGTTCACTCGGAGAAAGGAAGAGCTGGAGCCAGTGCTGCTACGGGGACGGATTTATGGACTAGAAAGGGTCATATTGAGTAAGTCGACTGGTGTGGCTTCGGATCGGGGGGCTTCGGGATTTGTTGCGCAGGCGCTGACGATGCATTCCAACTTTGTTGCTCCAGGCACTTCGCTCAGCTTGTCCATGCAGGAATTATAAATTATGAATTGGTAATTACGAATTAAAGTGTCGGGAACTACGTAGGCTAGGCAGTCGGGTGCCAATTACAAAACAAAACATGGAACGCCAAATAATCGAAAGCGAAACCGAGTATCACTAGGTCACCCGAACATGCCAAAAGACTGAGCTAAGTACGTCAGGGCTTCTCTGGCTCTGGGGTCTCCCTGAAGGGCAGCCTGTGCATTGCTCCACGGCATATGCGCGGGTGGCCCGATCCCCTGTGGGAGTGTGGAGAAAAGAGATACTGGTTGACGTAACGGCAGAGACTCCTGGATGCGCAGCACGGGAACCTGGTCCGTTCCCGATGACGTCGCTGT